CACCAACGGTAAACTGTACATAGTATGTGTCATGTGTTCTCACCAATGGTACACTGTATATAGTATGTGTCATGTGTTCTCACCAATGGTAAACTGTACATAGTATGTGTCATGTGTTCTCATCAATGATACACTGTACATAGTATGTGTCATGTGTTCTCACCAATGGTAAACTGTACATAGTATGTGTCATGTGTTCTCATCAATGGTAAACTGTACATAGTATGTGTCATGTGTTCTCACCAATGGTAAACTGTACATAGTATGTGTCATGTGTTCTCACCAACGGTAAACTGTACATAGTATGTGTCATGTGTTCTCACCAACGGTAAACTGTACATAGTATGTGTCATGTGTTCTCACCAATGGTACACTGTATATAGTATGTGTCATGTGTTCTCACCAATGGTAAACTGTACATAGTATGTGTCATGTGTTCTCATCAATGATACACTGTACATAGTATGTGTCATGTGTTCTCACCAATGGTAAACTGTACATAGTATGTGTCATGTGTTCTCATCAATGATACACTGTACATAGTATGTGTAATGTGTTCTCACCAATGGTACACTGTACATAGTATGTGTAATGTGTTCTCACCAATGGTACACTGTACATAGTATGTGTCATGTGTTCTCACCAATGGTAAACTGTACATACCGGTAGTATGTGTGATGTGTTCTCACCAATGGTAAACTGTATATAGTATGTGTCATGTGTTCTCACCAATGGAAAACTGTCATGTGTTCTCAAATGGAACATTGTACTCTACAATGATCCAGGAAATGAAAATGCGATATCCATGAATTAATGGCAATGTAATCTGTACTGAAGATTGTGAATAGCCAAACGCCAAACTCCAAACATTCAATACACCACTGTTGATAACTTGCGCCAAATAATCAGAAATTTAGGTTTAATTAATATAAATACTAGGATCTGTGAACGAGTAATTTATAAATACAAGTTACATACTACAACTACATCTGATAGTAAGTACAAGATTAAGAACACATTGTAGAACAACCCAGAGAAGTCATTGTGTTATAGAGAAATATAGCAAACATCAACATGAATTGTTCACCTTGGAAAGTGGGTTAATACCAAAGTCCTCTTCTCTGGGGGCATCTTGTCCTTTTCAGACCTGAACTTATCAAGTAGTTGTCTTCTCATCACAGTGAATACTGAGCGTAACAAAGTTCTTCCAAATATGTGAGTGGTCTCATATCTTGGTAAACTATCACAGAATGCCGGCACATGACAATAACACAGCCACCTGCAAAAACAACACATATATCTAAGGCTGTTTAATGATTGAACTGAAATGATGGCATCAGGAAATGTATTACATTAAGGTAATTCTACCTGTACACACAGTAAATATACTCCATGATGGATTAATATCTTAGAAAATATGCAAAAACTTTTATCAATTTTGCAAGAAATATTTCATGAATTGAAACTTACCTGGTATAATTGACTTTATATTGTGAGACATCATCAGACTGTGACCTTTGCTTTCTTACAGTTGGAGTTTCAAGGTTCCAGTGGTTTAAACAGTGTAAAAACATTTTGGCTAAATCATACATAGTTTGCCATTCTTTCTGTGGTAGATGACCAAACTTGTACAGGACAAAGTTTGTGACTCCCTGCAATCACAGTACAAATGCAGTCAGTAATTGTGAAAATCACAGGCTACACAGTGTGAAAATGCTGGTCCTAATAAACTAAAACCTTGATGATCATAAAATATTGCTTAATTAGGCACTACAGGTTAATAAGAATATTGGTGGTAGGTGGATTTGGAATTAACTCACACATGTATCATAATAAAATAATAATGTCTCATCTATATAGCACTTTACAGTTAAAAATCATTTAAAAACAGAACTGAAGAAGTTTTCTAAAAAAGCGAGTCTTCAAGTTTTGCTTGAACTCATTAAGAGTACTAGCATTTCTAATTGAAAAGAGAATTTAATTCCACAACTTTGGAGCAGAAATCTGAAAGCACAGTTGCTGTAATAAAATGCTAACAGCCCATGAAGTGGTGGCATACTGAGTGATGGAATAGCAGGCAAATATTGTGATGACGATGTGGAATATAGACTGTGAGAATTATATACAATGGTGCTATTAGCTATGCAGAGCTTTGTAAGTAAACAACAGAATCTTGATCACAATACAATCCCTGATTGGGAACCAATGCAACAGATCATGAAGTATGACATCAATATCTTGAGTTGATTTTCTATGTCTTACCAACATAGCTGCAGAATTAGACAATTTGGCTAGGTCAGTGTTTGAAAGGCCATGCAGAAGGCTGTTTGCATTATGATGATACACTACAATTGTCTGACAACTAAATACATATCCTAATGATTCACACAACTATATGCAGTGTTTTGTAGACATACTGTAGAATACTTTATTTTCGCTTGGAATTTATTTTCGCTATTTTCGCTGAAGGGATGTTTCCGTGAAAATAAAATCCAGTGAATATACTTTTTTTCCTATATTTCACATTAAACTCATCAAAAATCAGTGAAAATAAATTCCACACAAAACGCCCAAAAAGCCTTTTCAGCGAAAATTAATTCCAGTGAAAATAAAGTATTCCACAGTAATTGTGCAGACTTTAAAGCATACCTTGGCAATGCTAGGTTTCTCAAACGGTGGACTTCCAAGCGGGCCTTCCACAGATGGCTTACTTTGTTGAAGGATACATTTCCTTAGTAACTGAAAAAAAACCCACTTGTAATGATTAATAATTTCCTCACATACATAACCCATGATAGCATTGCCACAAATCGCAAACAATGGTTCAGTGTTTGTCAAAGAGAAGCCCTCACAGTGTTTGTCAAAGTGATGGCCTCAGGTTTTGCCAATGTGATGGCATCAGTATTTGTCAATATGATGGTTCATTTTTGTAAATGGGATGGTTCAGTGTTTATTCAATGTTTTTCAATGTAACAATATGTTTGAAAAAGCGAAGAGTTTGTCAACGTGGTGAGCTGGAGACACACTGCTATTATTTGGCTTACCTTAAATAAATAAAAATACACCTGCTTTGTATCAGCATCTTCTTCTTTATGTACGCATAAAAATAAGTTTTCCACATCAACTACAATCCCTAAGAGCCTATTTATTTCATCTTCTGGTGTATTTTCTAGGTGTGACACATGGGCAGCTTTAAAGAGATGACAATGTTCCATTAACTTGTGAAAATCAGAGGTCTTGTCTTAAATAATTAAACACCATTTTTTCTTTTTCCATAGACATGTTTATATGAAAAAACTCTTCATACTACTTTCTTAGTTCATTTGGTAGTCAGTTGAGCTGTGTTTCACTGTAAGACCTGTATGATCATGTTCACAGAATAAGGGAAATACCTGACGTCCACATCAACTTACATGTCCTAACTGTAACAGTACCTACCTGTAACTGATGTTCACAGCTTCTACAATAATCAATTAGACTAGCCAATTGAAAAAGAGCAATTTACCAGACTGGTGTCCACAGTTTTCTACAAGAATCAGTTAGACTAGCCAAGTGAAAAAGAGCAATTTACCTAACTGATGTCCACAACTTCTACAACGATCACTTAGACTAGCCAATGGAGTGGCAATATCAATTCTGGCTGGTTGCGACGTTGGAGGTGGATTAGGATTCTTCCAACCATTGCATTTGCATGATTCTTCAGCCTAGGAGGAAAAGTACAAACATTAACAAAAGTTAGGTTCACAGGAGTCAATATTATTAGAAAATCCAATCTTCCTCAGTTTGTGAAAATGTCAAAGGTTTGGCATCACTTAGCCCTTTTTCTATTATATGATCCTGGAAAAAAACATCAGTACATAATACAAAATTAGTTTTGTGATTTACTTAATTTTAGGGATTTATTCAACATGCAAAAAAACACATTATCCGTAACATCTGCAAGCCCTTACAGCGAGTACCTACGGTATGTGATTTAGAGGGAGGGACTGTGTTTGTACGCCCTCTTTTGATTGAAACGAAACAAAGAAAACCGACCTTGCACGATGAATATATTCCTAATTTCTCCAATTTCTTTGTTCTTGGATAACTTTTAACTTGCGTTTTACGTTGACATATTCTTTGGAGATTCATTGGTCTGCTGATATCACTTGCCGTCATCGGTGTTGCTTGTACACGCTGATGACTAGTAGTTTCCTGTGATGCCGAATTCGCCGCAGCCGAACGAGTAGTCGCCATCTTGTTTTTTTCTCGAACCACTAGCTATTAATGTTGAATATAGTACCCGTGTTCACAGAGATTATAATCATTTTTTGTCTAATTAACTGATAAAAATATTCTTATATATGTGGTATCCAGTATATTATATTCATTTGTTAATTTTAATTTTATTATCGATGCTTAATAAACGAAGAATATCATAATATATTTCCATTGAAAAAAATATCAGAACCTACAGACTGCAAATGTTGTGAAAAAAAGTTAAAACAAAACAAGGCAAAACACATGTGGGCATGTTATTGTTATTGTGCACAAAAATACTATTCAAATGGTAGTTACAATTGAAGATGAAACTCAAGGAACTTGAAAGCTATTTGCAGCAGGTTGATACGTTCGATGATCCTAAAGTTATGCTAGAGCAATATGCAACCCAGCCGCACATTGGTGGTAAATAAACTTTCTTGAATATTGTTAATATTGATGATAGTAATGGGATGACATCAAGACATGAAATATGTTAGCTATTATGTTATGAAAATCAATAAACTATCTAACCTGGTAATTGTCATCAAATATTGTTAAAAAATATATATTCTTTTAAACAGTGTGCCATATTTATCAGTTAATAGTCAGTGTGACATGTATGACAATGACAATAATACATTATGTACAAAATATTAACAAAATGGGAGGGAAGGCTAAAACTATAAGGCTAAAAGTATCAGTTTTTGTTCATTCAGAATATAGAGGGACTGAAATTGTTACAATTGAATTGAGTGGAGCTGTGGGGATGAGTAAATTATATCCTAATAGGTACAATTAATTCTAAATTCACAGCTTGTATGCTTCATACAATTCATAGTCGCTATGGTGATATAGAAGATAAACTGGTAGCTGATCTTGGATGTGGGTGTGGTGTATTAAGTATTGGATGTCTCATGTTGGATGCAAAGTAAGACTTGATAATCCATGCACATTTATAAATATTGATTAAACATTAATCTCAAGATTCACATCTTTATGAAATCCAGTGAAACTACAAATCTATAAATTTTAAAAATCCAAAATGACCACTGTATATTTGATGCACTGTTCACTAAACACAGAACTGTTAGATACAAGGAGTTAAGCAAGAAAGTAGGTTGGCTCCTTGATAATGCATTAAATTGTCATAATGGCAGATAGGAAAATATGATCACACAGCCCTGTCACAACATTCCAAACATGAAATGTGGTTTCTATTTCAGAAATCATACATAGAAATTGCACATAAAATAGTAAGGTGATACAACAGTTACATTCAATGCCCTAATATCAACTGTTACAAATATATATATTATTTTTGGTTAGTGTGTCAAATTCAGAGCATTATCAATTTTGTGGAGTTTCATGTGGATATTATAATTTTGCTTTTGGTGTTGTGGTCCTCAACCTTCCTGAGAACATGTATAAAGTGTATGAATGACATCTTGTAGACATTACTACCAATGATTTCAACCAATTACATCACCCAGTTTTACTTTCTGCACGTTTTTTTTATGAAATGAATGTAAACAAAGTATAACAAAACTTGCACAATTTTAATAAATAATAATAATAATAATGTGCTAAATTTTGCTCCATCGTTTTCACATACTGTAGCAGCAAGAACATTCAGCAGTCACATAACTGCAGCAACAGGAGCTTTTTGCATGCAGCAGAAAGAACTTTTAGCAATCACATGACAGCAACAACTAGAACTCCTACAATGTCACATGACTATACAATGTCACATGACTATACAATGTCACATGACTACAGCAACAAGAGCTCATAAACCTAAACAATGAATGAGTCATAGCTGTTGTTCAGGCAGCATGTCTAGCTGGCAAAGGATTTTGATTTCTTGCAACCCGATTTGCAAAGAATATATTCATATGCAGATTGTAAACTGCAGCAGTTGCATTCATAGACTGTAGGATTTATGGTAAAATCTTGTAACCATTTCTCAGACATGCCAACAACACTTAATTTTGTGTCCACAAATACATGTACATGTACTAACAGTATATGACTCATTATTTGTAGTTTGTGTATAGGATTTGATATTGATGAAGATTCATTGGAAATATGCAGAAGGAATTGTGAGGAATTTGAGTTTACAAACATGGATATGGTGCAGTGTGATCTATCTCAGTTAGTGGACTCTAAGAGATGGAAAGACTGTTTTGATACAGTTATAATGAATCCACCATTTGGGACAAAACATAAAGGTATTATGACACTACCATATTTGTTCTATTAGAAGAACAACTCCAATAAAAGTGCACATCAACCACAAATGGCTTTTATACCCTAAATCCTAAACTATGACTTGATCAACTATAGACACACCTTTGTCATTTATGCTCTATGCTATGAAATGAACAAATACATTATCATTTATCATGTGTGTAACAGTGTGGTATAGTATGTTGTTTACACTGTGGGTGCAATCCCTGTAGTCAGACATTCATTCAGATAATTGCCATACTGGTTTGCTATATCACCAGCCACTTTGCTGAATGGTTTAGTATGTTATGTCTGTATTTTGAATCACATAACAAAAAACCAGCAAGGCATTTAGCTGACTGAATGGCTTACCATAAAGTATTCAGAGATGTTATAATTCAGCAAGGTTTTGTATTTGTTACTTAATTAGTATCACTGTCATTCTCAAAGCCTTGACTGATTGCTGTTATTGGTGGCAGTCTCTG